CACCTGTATCACATCTACACCAGGGCCCGCCAATCATTCTAGTGAAACCGAGCGTGACCTTGCTAGTGACCCACCACCCTCGTCTCCTCACAATGACCCTAATCCACCTCTCAACCCCTTAGTCTCACCTCGTGTTATAGTCACTCGCTCCAAACACAACATCCATAAACCAATTCAAAAGCTTAACCTTATTGCCCAACTCCAACCATCTACCCTTGAACCTACCACTGTTACCCAAACCCTCAAGGACCCTAAGTGGCGACAAGCTATGTTTGAAGAGTTTGATGCTTTAATTTGTTATGGGACATGAAAACTAGTTCCATTTCATCTCACTCAAAATTTGGTTGCTTGTAAGTGGATCTTTCGTACTAAATATCTACATAATGGCTCTACTGATAGATACAAAGCTCGATTGGTTACTAAAGGCTTCCACCAACACCCTGGAGTTGACTACTCTGAAACTTTCAGTCCAGTCATCAAACCTAACACTCTTCGTCTTGTTATCAGCCTCGTAGTTAGTCAGGGTTGGTCACTCATACAACTTGATATCAACAATACCTTCCTTCAGGGAACTCTCACTGAGGATGTGTTTATGTCTCAACCTCTGAGCTTCATTGATCGTGATCATCCTTATCATGTCTGCAAGCTACACAAGGCTATTTATGGCCTCAAGCAAGCTTCCCGTGCTTGGTACCATGAGTTGCGCCAATTTCTTCTCCAATTAGGCTTCACCAATTCAGTTGTCGACACCTCCTTATTCATCTTCAACGATCGTTGCACCACTATTTATCTTCTAGTCTATGTCGACGATATCATTATAACTGCGCACAATACTGACGCTACACAGGCCTTCATTCAATAACTCTCTCAGCGCTTATCTCTCAAGGACCTTGGACCCCTGACATACTTCATTGGAGTGGAAGTAACCTCCCACAACAATGGTATTTTCCTCAGTCAACGCAAATACATTATTGATCTCCTTAATAGAACTCACATGACTGAAGCCAAGCCTGCTCCTATACCACTAGCAACTAGTCCGACTCTCACTTTATAATCTGGGACTCCACTATCTGATTCGACCGAGTATCGAACAATTATTGGTGGCCTTCAATATCTCTCACTCACTCGGCCTGACATTACCTATATAGTGAACAAACTCTCTTAGTTTATGCATCAACCAACCAGTGACCACTGGAATATAGTCAAGCGTATACTGCGGTATCTCTGTGCCGCTTTAGAGCACGACATCACACTACGTCACACCTCCCCACTACTACTTCATGCCTTTTCAGACGCTGATTGGGCAGGTAACAAAGATGATTTCATCTCCACTAGTGCATGCATAGCTATCTCGGTCATAATCCTATTTCTTGTAGCTCCAAGAAACAACGTATAGTGGCTCGCTCTTCCACTGAGGCAAAGTACCGATCAGTTGCCTCTACAACTGCTGAAATTCGATGAATTTGCTATCTCCTTACAGAACTAAGTGTCACTCTTCCCTAACAACCAGTTATTTATTGTGATAATGTTGGTGCCACAAATCTCTGTTCCAATCCGGTCTTCCACTCGCGCATGAAACATGTCGCTCTTGACTATTACTTTATCCGAGAACAAGTTCAAAATGGTTTGCTTCGAGTGTCACACATCTCTACAACTGATTAACTTGCCGACGCTCTTACCAAACCTCTTGCTCGTCCTTAGTTTGACTCTCTCAAGGTCAAGATTGGACTTGCTTCACGGCCGTCCATCTTGCGGGGGCATGATAAGGATATAAAATCAAATTGAGAAAGTCAAAGGAGAAAATCAAGGGATTTAATAAGGATATACAATCGAGTTGAGAAAGTCAAAGGAGAAAATCAAGGGATTTTCACCTTTGAATATTCCTTTGTAATTATCTATAGTATCTGACAGTTACTCAATTTATTTTAATTCCTTTTTATTAGTAATTATTTTCCTTCTTTTGTACTCACATAATCTGTATATATACTACCCATATCAATAAGAATTGTAAGCAATATATTTCTTCATCCTATTATCTTCTTTAGGTCCATCCTTGCATCGCACGATGGTATCAATAATTATACACAATTATTTTCAAGATTTTGTTGTTCGATACCAAAGCGAATCCAATGGGACGGCAGTAGTTTTGTCCCCAAAATGGTACTCTTTCTATCCTATAAAACATGTTCATTATTGATTTTTTTATCAATTTTTTTAAACTTTGACTATTTATTATTTAAAATTTATTATTGATAAAAATATGTAAAAATATATTTTAAAAATTTTCAATCAAGCAGTTTTGAAATATATATTTTATAAAATTTAATTATTTAAAATATTTAAAATAATGACGGTCAAAGTTTAAAAAATTTAACTTTTAAAAAGTCAATAAGATACAAATTTTTATATGACGGAGGGAGTATAACTTATTTGTGATCCATGTGAAATTTTTAAAATTATGATTTAATATAATGCTAAGATTACACTAACCTCTAAAATCAATGATTTAGTGTTGTCTTCTTAAAGCAATTTCTGACTTGGTTCCGACTCGATACAAATATTTTTATATATACGAAATAAATTTTGAAATAATACATAAACTTATAACATATCCAAATTATTAGTATCATATTAAGGGATGGACTCAAGATCCAAATCCGATGAGTTCCGACGTAACCTGACTTTATCGAGTCTGATTTACTTTTGAAATTCGGGTTCGGATTTAAAGTGAAAAATATTCAATAAAAAAATTATAATTTTACCATATATATTTAGGAATAATTACAATAATACCTATTTATATATTAACTTTTTAATAAATCTCTATTTTTTATTAAATTGAAGTAATATTTTTTATAAATATATTATATCTCAAAAGAACGGATTAGGTTTAAGTTGTGGAAGATGTATAATTTTCGTGTCGAGTTTAAATTAAATAGTTTATACCTCCAATAATTAACCCTTAACTAAATGCACAAAGGACATAAGAGATCGATTGAGGGACCACGTTCTATCACACATGTCGCCATTCAAGTTGGAACGGTTAATAATAAAGCTTCTAAAAAGACCTCTGGAATTGGACAAGTTGGTGGTGGGTGCCCTCAGGCTGGCTACCTAGGACAAAGCTTTCCACTGAAAACGGCAACTGACGGTGACCGGCGTTGCCCCTTTTCTTGGGTGACGTGTTCCTCTATGGTTGGATCTCTAATGCTCTCAATCTGTTGTTATTTCATCTAATTATTGATAACCCTCCAGTGGAAACAGGTTTTAGTGAAGGGGTTCCATTTATCATTGTGTCAAGACAAACATCTCAGGTTCTAGGATTTTCTCACAACAAACTCCAAAGTTTGATTAATTTATTTAGCGATTGTAATCAACTTCTAGGCTGTTTTCATTGATTAGATATGACTTCATTAATTATCTGTCAATAGTTCTGTGTTTTTTTTAACTTGTTATAATGGGCACGAATCAAGTAAATGAATTTTTGTTATTTTTGGAGATATCGGGTTTGAACACCGGGAATATCAGAGGTAACAACGTTCCATATCAAATGATTAAGGGTTATCTTTGAACATATATTGTCTTATACCTAAATGAAAAAGAATAATTTAATCCACATTGCTCACTTTGAAGAAAAAAACAAGACAAGGGAGGAAACTAGTGCATATGTTGTGAACCTTATAAATTATGGATCAATTTGAAGGAACAAAACGATAAAATACTATATTTAATATTTATAATAAATAACTCTTAAAAAAATATAAGACAAGGAAATTTAAAAATATATTCACAAATTTCAGAAGTTATTTTTCATAAAATGTAATTTCCAGAATCTATATCTATTCAATCGGATCTTAAATTGATCTTCCACGTGATACTGTCTAAAAAAGATTGAGAATATCCCATATGAACAACAAAACTCAAACCGAGGTTCCCAGGAAAGGTGCACAGCTAAAGAAAATTACACACAAGGGACTGTTGGGAATATCCATTTACATGGGCTTTGCCTTGGAAAAATCCATCTCAGGATGCTGCAACAAAACCAACGAATTTCATCAGCTAAAGAGCCTCATAGAGTGGTGGTATGATATGGAGTTTCTGATGTGAATAGTTTACCTCGGACATGAATGCCTTCAAGAGTTCCTGCTTCTGAAGCTCATCAATGGCTGGACGGTCCATCGCCTTCTGTCTTCGGCCTAAACTGCACAGGAGGACAAGCTTACGAGTTCAGATTAACATGAACCTTTAAGCCATAAACAAAGCAGACTCCAGTCTCACATTTTTATAGCTCAAATCATAGTTTTGAAATTCCTTGAGACTCAGAATTTGCAAGATTCATACTTTCATGAGACTATATCAAAGAAAATATTATAAACTATATATATAGAAGCCCTATCAATTTCTCCAAAGTTTATCGTGCTTCTTGATCCAAGTCAGACAGTTTGATGTTCTCTGGTTTAACTTTCTGGATGTCAATTTCATGATCTCCTTTCACCAATGATGCCCAGTACTCCATTTGGTTGTGATTTGTCAAAAGGATTGAGATCGATTGATTATCCTCTACAGGAAAAATGGAAGGATTTTAGACTACCAAGGGTCTTGCCTTCAACATCAAACAAAATGCAAGTCCATCTTCAACATCACAATTGCAGCAAAATATTCCAAACCCTTAGAACAATCTTAACAATCATTGTGACGTTCAATCAAATATCTATCTGATTTTCTTCAAGTAACTTACCAATGCTTCAGGAATTGTATTTACAGAGTGTGTATTGTGTACATCGTTAATAAATAATAATAAAGAATATGAAAAATAATATCTATTATAAAAAAATTAATATACTATTACTATAATAATTGAAAAGAATGAAAACAAATTAAAACAAATTGATATTCCTACTGTTCCAATTAGGCAACAGAATGAGAAATTTTAGATAATAATATTGAAATTTAATTGAATGTGTTATCGATTTTATTATTATCATGATGATTTTTTTACAATAAATTAGAAAAAAATGGAAAAAGAAAAATGGTTCTAGCAGAAGGCAGCAAATTTAAGCTCCTGTTGAAGAATCTCCTCCAGCAATAACTGGGACTCCTCCATCAGTCCGGAGATTAATCTGAACATGAGCACGCAAAATTCCATCTCACTGAGAGCTCCGTCGCCGTCGGTATCTCCTTCTTCCACCATGCTGACCAGCTCGTCGTGTCTTAAATCCTGCAAGCCCAGCAGCGCCGCGTTCCGCTTCAAGCTCTCAACCGTGATCACCCCTTTCTCCTTGTCCATCAACAGCTCGAACCCATTGCTCAGCTCCCTCATCAGCACTTCTCCTCCCAGATTCTCCGCCATCACCGGCAACAATTCCTCGAACTCAGCAACCGATTTACCCATACCCGCCATTGCAAAAAAAAAAAAAGAACTCCTTACGTTCACGTCAAAGAAAGCTCTTCGTTTTGTGTTGGGTTGTTTGAACAGAGCAGCTCTGTGTTATTTATACAGGGATTTGAGGATTAGGGGAAAGGAAAATGGGTTTTCTTGGAAAGTGGATTGGGGTTATGCTTTGCCATTGTATGACAGCAGAGGAACACGACCTTTATAGGCGGTCGGCTTTTATACTTGCAGAAGCTGAGTTGAAACAGCCTTTGTTTCAAAGCAGTTGTTGACAATTGGCTTTGGATTTTTTTGGAAAAATACATAATAGGTCCCTATACTTTTAAAAAAACCAATATGACCCTCATATTATTTTTTCTCTCAATTTGACCCTTTAATTCAGAAAATAAACTCAATGTGACCCTTTGATCAATGTTTTTATTGTTTGACCGTTACAATGTTGACATCGTAGTCCACAGTACTAGCATGACAATCTACGATACTGACGTGACAATCCATCTTCCACGTTTGAGTTACTAATTAAGCTCACCAACCATGTTATCCACCACATTATTAATCACGGTTGACTCCCACATCAACATCGTGAGTCATCACATCAGTATTGTGAATTAACACGTCAACACCGTAACGGTCAATGACGAAAAACGTTAGTTAAATGACCATATCAAACTTATTTCTGAGTTAGAGGGTTATATTAAAATAAAAATAATACAGGGCTACATTATTTTTAAAAAAAGTATAACCACCTATGGTACCTTTTTGCCCTTTTTTTTTGCAATGTTTGCTGTGTCGGCTTTTGACTTGAGAGTTACGAAAGAATCTAACCGGGGACATTATTGTACATAACTTGATTCACATATTTTGATTTAAATAATGTTTGCGAATAAATATTTTACTAACTTCTTATAGGATAAGAACTTAATGGCCAAGTTACATAAGGAAGTTTCATTTCAGTTCCATATCCATATTTGTCTGTCAGGAGAATAGATCTCATGTCTACCGTTCTTTTTCTCTCTCACAATAAGATAAATTATAGTATATATTTATATATACTTCAGTTAATATCAACTGGTTGATTCAAATGATAAGTAGTTTGATATTTAACCAGGTCTCGAGTTCGAATCATTGTGTATGTAAAAAATCTCTATTGAGAGTCTCACCCACCAATACCAGGTGTACGACCCAAGTCGGTCCAGATTAGTCAAGACGAAACCTTGTGAACCGAGAAGGTAACCAAAAATATATATAATTAGATTATTTAGTCACTTTTTTTATTTTCTCTAAACTCTAAAATCGTCATTTTTTATTTCATTTTGTTTGATATGCGGCGACATTAATTTTAGTATTGTTCGTGAATCACATTTTTTCTTTATTTCTCATTTACTTTCTTATGTCGTATATTTACTTTTCTTTTGTTTTTTTAGTTTTTAATAATTACAGTTATGGTACATTTTCTTCTTATTCTTCTTTTGGATAAGAAAATTTTATTCCAAATCCAAAAAGGATGCATCAAAGCTACAATAAATAAACCAGTAAAACAAAAACAAAAAAACACCACACCCACATCAAGAGCCTACAACAACCTAACTCAAACAAAAACAACAAACACTAGACCAAAGAAAAAGGGGAAAAACAATCACACCCAACACAAACACCCATTAACAAGTCAAGCATCAGAGAATCCCACAGACATTACAAATCTACAGATTCCTATCGTCCTTATTGAAACAACAACCATGAAGCTTATAGCTAATAGCCTCTTGGATTACCTAACACAAGACCTCAGGGGGTGCCTGATACCCTTGAATAGCCTGTGATTATGTTCTTCCCAAATATAATAAAGGTAACCAGTCTAAGTCAGCTTCAAAATACCTACAATCAAAGATTTACCTTTAAACCTGCCAATCACCCAATCCAAAAGCTCAGCTCAGTCTCCCCAAGGAAAACCACAAATTTGCAAAACACGACCCCAAACAATGCAAGTGTAAAGGCAATCGCCAATGATATGACTTCTACTTTCCTCACCAGCCTCACACAGCCTGCAATCACCATCAATAACTAAACATATTTTTGTTTTCTCTAAACTCTAAAATCATCATTTTTATTTCATTTTGTTTGATATGCGGCGACATTAATTTTAGTATTGTTCGTGAATCACATTTTTTCTTTATTTCTCATTTACTTTCTTATGTCGTATATTTACTTTTCTTTTGTTTTTTTAGTTTTTAATAATTATAGTTATGGTACATTTTCTTTTTATTCTTCATTTGGATAAGAAAATTTCATTCCAAATCCAAAAAGGATGCATCAAAGCTACAATAAATAAACCAGTCAAACAAAAACAGAAAAACACCACACCCACACCAAGAGCCTACAACAACCTAACTCAAACAAAAGCAACAAACACTAGACCAAAGAAAAAGGGGAAAAACAATCACACCCAACACAAACACCCATTAACAAGTCAAGCATCAGAGAATCCTACAGACATTACAAATCTACAGATTCCTATCATCCTTATTGAAACAACAACTATGAAGCTTATAGCTAATAGCCTATTGGATTACCTAACACAAGACCTCAGGGGGTGCCTGACACCCTTGAATAGCCTGTGATTATGTTCTTCCCAAATATAATAAAGGTAACCAGTCTAAGCCAGCTTCAAAATACCTACAATCAAAGATTTACCTTTAAACCTACCAATCACCCAATCCAAAAGCTCAGCTCAGTCTCCCCAAGGAAAACCATAATTTTGCAAAACACGACCCCAAACAATGCAAGTGTAAGGGCAATCGCCAATGATATGACTTCTACTCTCCTCACCAGCCTCACACAGCCTGTAATCACCAACAATAACTAAACATATTTTAGTAAGGTTGTATTAAGTAAGCAACTTATCAATAATGACCATCCATAAAACAAGAGAAAATTTAGGAATATGAAGAGAAAATCAAATAACATGATGTCATCTAACCTTCTCAACCTTAACCCTTCATTCCTTCCAGATCCATCTACAAGTAATCAGGCGCCAATCATTATGCCCTCCAAACAAATCAACAACAATTCCCTTCAACTTCAATAATTTCCTAATGAACCAACTATGATAAGGTCTTCCACCAACAAACATAAAGTCCTGCCCCTTCAACACATACTCCCTCAACCAAGCTACCCACAAGAAGCCTTCATTGGCAAGAATACTCTTAATGAGGAACAGACAACAAGCCTTATTCTAGCAGGATAAATCCTTGATACCCAAACCCCCCTCAGATTTAGGCCTACAAATCTGATTCCATCCAACTTGAGCACCTTTAGCAGGAGAGTCACCCCATTTCCAAAAGAATCTCATACAAAGTTGTTCAATCCTCATGACAACAGACTTGGGAAGAGGCAATTGTTTGCACTAGAAATTTGAAATATTGCACAATGCAATTTTAATGAGCTACAACTTTCCAACATAGGGAAGATTTCGATGAGCCCACATAACAAGCTTACCCCATATCTTTTCAATCAAAGGCAAACAATCTTTTTCAAAAAATTTCTGGTCACATGGAACACCAATATATTTTACTGGCAACACACCCACTCTAAATCCAATAATAGTTTGAATATTGCTCAAAGTCCTCTCACCCATCCCACAAGCAAATAACTCAATTTTTACAGCATTAAGTTGCAAACCTAACATCCCATAAAACACTTCAAGAACACTCTTTACACCAAACACATAATCCATTGATATGTGGAAAAAAACAAGTAAGTCATTAGCAAAATATAAATGGATTAATGAGATATTCTTACACTTAGGATGAAATTTATACCGTTCTTCACAATAGTATCTAATAATTGAGAAATGATATTCATCACTATAATGAAAAGGTAGGGAGATGGAGGATCACCCTGTCTCACTCCCTTCCTCCCACTAAAATAGCCAACCAAGCTCCCATTAAAGACCACATAGAATTTTGAATTAGTGACACATGCTCTAATCTAATTCCTAAATTCCTCAGGTAACCTAAGAGCAGCAAGGACAACCATCAAAAAGTTTGAATTAACGGAATCAAAAACTTTCTGCAAGTTAATTTTAATAGCACATCTAGAAGACATGGTCCTCCTAGAATAACCCTTCACCATTTCCTGAGCAAGCAAAGTGTCATCCATTAAATTTCTCACTTTGATGAAAGTAGTTTGACTGAGTGGTATCATCCCAGAAAAATAATAGGCCAACCTATTCACTAACACCTTAGTGATAGTTTTATATATCACAGAACGACAAGAGATAGGCTTAAAGTCCTTTACTCTACTAGCATTAGGAACTCGGTTGGCTTTTTATGGTATATTTTCGTTTGTCTTTTTATGGAATGCATTTAGTCTTTTGGTTGTTTTTTTATTTAATTTTTTCATGGTTGGATTTGATGTCGAATTGACTAATCAAGAAGGCGATTATTTGTTATCTTGTTGATCTTTCATATTTTGGACCCTCATATTGGAAGTTGATATGCAATTTAATCCCCTATTGTGGTCATTTGTCAATGAAATCAGATTTGATTGAGATTTTTCTAGATGAGTTTTAACATTTTCCTTATATGGTACTTGTATGATCTCAAGTGACTAATTTAGTGTATCAATGATTATAAAATATATTCTAATTATGTGTTTAGTTTACAAATTTCGTTATAATTTTAAGTATTTTCTCTTTTTAATAAAATGATAATGATAAAATGATAATAAGGTTGAAAACATTTCTATTATCAACAATTCTTATTTTGTGATGTGTTAATTGTGGTGGATATAAAAATATTTTTTAAGGTAGGCACACATGTGTTAACAACATAAAATTTTTAAATGGTACAAATAAAATTTTAGGTGAGCACCGTCCATAAAATAAATAATTAATCGAAGAAAACTCATATTTCAGGGTAGACATGAAAATTTTGAAGGTGGACATCATTAATAAAATAAGTAACTAATTGAAACAAATTTAAATTTTAGAGTGGACACTGACCATGCCGTGGCTCCGCCACTGCATGTGAATGCTTGGACTGTTG